CCCCCCCCCCCCACCCCCACCACCACCCCACCTTCCTCTGCTCCTCTCCACTCCCCTCCGTCTTTCACCTCTCGCCCGCCTCCTTCCGCATCGCCCACTGAGCGGTCGCTATGCACAAACTTTTAAATTAACTTATATTTACATGAATAAAAGTGAGTCCACCTCGGAACATCTGATTAGATTCTAACAAAAGACAGCAGGATGATATTACTACAAGGACAACCCCTGCCTCGAGGGCGGCGGGAGTCCTGTCCCCGCTCAACTTGATCGAGGGATGACTAGTTATATAGTCTTCATCACTGTGTGATGATTCTATGTGATCCACGAGCTGGTGAGTCCCAAACGCTACCTTGGTTTGTGTAATGTTTGATGTTCGAAGAACTGATCTTCCTAGTTGGGCTCGATCAGCCGAAGGCTTGAACGAGGGGGTCCTTCTTTGTTGCTTCTGGTAGTATGGATGATCCTTAAGTTTCATGCATTGTAAGACCATGAAAAAGTGATCTTGCATGGTTACACCGCACCTTTGTGATGGTAGCACAGAATGCTCAAATCGTGAACAAACAGTAAGCATTCTCAGCAGGCAATGATGTCACTGATCAATGATCCGTTGAACTAACCTGCAGGTTTGTGACAGTCTTGAGTGCTGATCGCAGAGGTCGATTGATAAGTTTAGAACTTTAGCAATTTTAAACGCTATGAAGTCACTATTGACTATCCTGAGTCTTGTTCACTTGCATTAAAAGATGAGGGAAATTGAGACTTGTACTGATACCAGAAGCAACAAATCCAAGAAGAGTTTGATTAACCAGCGATCATACAATTATCTCCGAGTGAGCACACTAAAGTACTCGATGACTTCATTAGAGCAAATTGCAATTTTGCGATCGATCGAGAGAGCCAGCGAAAGAGGCTGAGAGAATTTTTGATCAGTCGATACGCACATCTTCTTGGTGGTGCTGAGCTGGAGCAGTCCTGAACCAGAAGGATCGATCTACTTGATGTTGCCCACCTGTTGTCGAATACTTGCTGCTCCAACCTCTACATCACATCGTTGTTGATGTTCACATGCTGGGCGTTTGTTTTTTTTAAATCACCGCGGAGGTAGTAAAAAGTCTCATGTACCCTAGGTTTTATTGAGGGAAAAATGGGGGGTAGGGGGACTCTCGGTGTTGGCCGATGTCACATCCCCAGGCGCAAATTAAGTTGATCGACCCTTTTGTCACCGAATAACACTTTGCTGTCAACCGGCACCCCTGGGTCGTGACGTGCGCTTCGAGGACGTGAACCTGTGATGTTGTGCTGTTGGTGAGATCACAGACAAGATGTTTTCACCTGTCACAGAAAACATCTCCTTGTTTCCAAGAATTGCATGCAAGACGAGCAGCTATCTTGTTTAAAGTTATGTCAAAAATAATGACTTTGCTCTCCTTTGGTAGGTTGGCGCACGTGTGTTGCAACTAAATGAGCAGCTGTCATGCATGTGCTTGAATGGCCTAGTCAAATACTGCATTGTATTGTACCTTTCGGCATCAATGATTCAAGAATCTATTGTGCAAATCGCTCCTGGACAACAAAACAATTACACACATTCGTGTCTAGTCTGTTTTGATGATCACGTGTTTGACAGCTAAAGGATCCACGCTTCTTCTTCTGCCTTCGTAACTTTCAGTGAGATGTTTCATTAGTGTATTCCTCGAGGGATTGTGAACAGATAGTATATGAGCGACGGAAAGGATCGTTGGTCAGGACAGCATGGCGATTCGACATCCAAGTCGGTTTCTGTTGTCACCTTGGCAATAAACTTTCAAGTCTGTTCTCAGTTCATATAGGATGAAGAGCAGCAAGCATCACACAGCTATCACTAGTTCATTCAGTGTTGTCGATTACGATATGACATTGTGAGTGAGGGAGTAGCATACATCAGTGACTTCAATGTGGAGGTAAGGAGCGTTTTGATCCACCGCATGATTCAAACCGATAGATGCACTGCTTTCAGGCACACTCTGGAAGTTCCGAAGCACCGGGTCGGAGTGGCATTGGTTGTAAAATCGTTGCGTTTTTGCATCGTTTCCGGTGAAACCCGAGCCAAGTGTCTTGTCCCCTCCCTTCCCTTTGGAGCTCGCTCGCACTATATTTCACCACCCCGTAGTCTTAAATCTACAACCTTACTTGCGCAAGTACATTCACTGCAAAGTGGCGGAATGACTATTGCCAACAACCCCACCCCTAAGTCTACTTTACACAGGTTGTTAGTAGGTGGGGTCACGGAGTCAGCAGCGGGACAACGAACCGAATTTTTTTAAACCCTATTAAATAAGTAAAATGTTTGGTACTGAGGAATTCCGTCAGGCTGCTGTCATGAACTCAATCCGAATAGCCAAAAGGACCCACCCCCCGTCCCGAACCGCTGTGCCGGAGAATTTTCATCCTCTGCCAGATTTTCCTTCAAGATCTTTGAATTGATTTCAAAATCTGATTGGAATGTTTTACAAAACATAGCTTGAATGTCGACACCTGGGGCAAAGGGGTCTCTATTTTATAATGTTTTATATTGCTTTTGGTTCTTTTTTTTTTTTCACCCTGCGCCAACATGTAAAGAGGACACCACCCCTAGGATTGTCCCACAAAGTACCCACCCCAAGTAGGCCCTGCTGAGCTGCGTCAAACCTCTCACGAGCACGGATAACAGCGCAAGGCTCCCACCACCACCAGATCCTTCGTGGACAAGCAGCAAGCCCAACAAACAGACATGGTCCGTCCCACAGCTTCTGACCACAACAAGAGCATCTTCGCTAAGACCATTCTCGCGAAAGCAAGCCCCTCCTCGTACGTCTGCAGAAGCGGATGTTGGTCCATCTACTCCGTGCTCAAGGCCTGCTGCCCTTCCGTGATCCGTAGCGACGACCCCTACACGGGACGGAGCGGGATGACGGAGATGGAGTTCAGCAAGGTGCTGGAGAAAAGCGGCATGAAGAAGGTCCGAGCGAGGAAGACGATGTTCAAGCGCGACGACGACCGGTGGAGCTCGTATGGTGAGGAAGCCGCACACAAGCGGACGGGCTATGGGGGAGATTGGGAGAGGAGAGGAAAGGGGGGGGGCAAGGTGACCAAGTACGGGGCAGGAAGAGGAGGGGAGGATGCTACGGGGGCATGGGGAAGGAGGCGGGGAGGGTCAGAAGATAGCTTGGCATGCGTGAGCGGCTTGTTGACTGACGTGTTTGTTGAGCAGTGCGATACCTGTACGCGGGATGGAGATGGAGGAGCCCCGCAGAGCCTGAGGATCGCGAGGAGCTGGTGCGAGGCTGGGAGCAGATTGCCAGCATCTCGGGGCCGTTTGCGAGGCAGTGCCCGCTTGATCGGTTCCTGGACATCTGCGAGCTTTCCCGGCACGAGTGGGAGCAGTTCACGGGGGTCGTGCCATGCCGAGACACGGAGGGCGACGTCAAGGACGAAGAGCTTGGCTGGGCAGGAGACGCCTCGAGGAAGCGGCCGCGGGAGGCGATGATGTTTGAGGAGGAAGAGGAGTACGGGGAGGGGTTTCACATCCCGCTGGGCATGGAAGGGTGGGACGATGGCGAGGAGAGGAGGGAGAAGCGGGCAACCTACACGGACATCAGGAGGGAGGAAGGAGAAGGGGAGGATGGGCAGAGGGCGAGGGGGATATGCGAGGAGATCGAGGAAGCTCTGGCGGAGGAGAAGGGCATCGAGCCCAGGGACATTCAGAAGTACCTCTTTGGGTCCGAGTCCCTGCACACTTTCTGTTGTTCCCTCGTGTGATTCTTGAATTCTTTTTTTCATAATTCGCAGTTTTTTGTTTGCGAGTGATTTTGATACTAACCAATACATTGTATTAACACATTATTTTCATTTGTCTCTTTTCTTGCAACTAAATTATCCGCTCGTTGCATTCATCCATACACTATCAGAAATTAGCTTTTGAGTAGCAATTTTGACATGTTCAACATGTTTAAATGCGCTTTGCAGGTCCTGCCACAGGTACTGTCTTCAATTGCTGCAAGTATTTTGATTCTTTTCGAGTAGTGTTTTAAATTCATAACATTTCATCCTGTCATGATATCTAGCCACAGATATCGAGGCGAGTTGGGAAGGCACATGCCAAATCAGGTGACTCTACTTCCAGCCATCCAATCATGGGTTATCAGGTCATCACATATTCAATGCAGTTGCCTCAAGCACGAGCAAGTGGAAGGAAGCAGCAAGGCAAAAGCTGCATCAAGGTCTTGATGATGGGGAGTACCTAATCTAATGAAGGCATTCCGTACCTGACACTTGCTCACAAACACCACAGGATACTTGATGGATGCAGATCTCTCGGAACGAACTGGATATGCTTGTCATTCAACCAAGGTGTGGATGAACTTCGGTTGTGACAGACGGCAAACAGTTCAAATCTGTGCTTTCTTCTCTTCTCGCATCAGAATGACGGAGGATGGGTATCGTCTCGCTCTCAAAGTCATCACACGGAGCCATACCAGAAGCTCTTCGGTCGCATCGCCATCTCTTGTCAGTTGGCTCTCCTCAATGACGGCAGTCGCTCCGCGGCGATTTGAGGCCATGGCCAACAACTCATTTCCGTCGGTACCGGATTTGCCCGGTATCACCAAAACACAACGATTGGAATCTTATTCTTTACTACACACTGAGAGTTCTTTTTTTGGTTGTAAATAGTCGGATCCTTCCCTCTTTCACCTTTTTCTTCTTCCCAGTTCCTTGCTTACCCTTGCCATCCTCGGAAAGAAACATGGTCCGACCCACAGCTTCTGACCACAACAAGAGCATTGGCTTGCTCTTCGCTAAGACTGTATGCCCTCATATCCCATAGTCAGTGTTCTTCCCACTTACTGACATGTCCAAATAGATTCTCGCGAAAGCAAGCCCCTCCTCGTACGTCTGCAGAAGCGGATGTTGGTCCATCTACTCCGTGCTCAAGGCCTGCTGCCCTTCCGTGATCCGTAGCGACGACCCCTACACGGGACGGAGCGGGATGACGGAGATGGAGTTCAGCAAGGTGCTGGAGAAAAGCGGCATGAAGAAGGTCCGAGCGAGGAAGACGATGTTCAAGCGCGACGACGACCGGTGGAGCTCGTATGGTGAGGAAGCCGCACACAAGCGGACGGGCTATGGGGGAGATTGGGAGAGGAGAGGAAAGGGGGGGGGCAAGGTGACCAAGTACGGGGCAGGAAGAGGAGGGGAGGATGCTGCGAGGGCATGGGGAAGGAGGCGGGGAGGGTCAGAAGATAGCTTGGCATGCGTGAGCGGCTTGTTGACTGACATGTTTCTTGAGCAGTGCGGTACCTGTACGCGGGATGGAGATGGAGGAGCCCCGCAGAGCCTGAGGATCGCGAGGAGCTGGTGCGAGGCTGGGAGCAGATTGCCAGCATCTCGGGGCCGTTTGCGAGGCAGTGCCCGCTTGATCGGTTCCTGGACATCTGCGAGCTTTCCCGGCACGAGTGGGAGCAGTTCACGGGGGTCGTGCCATGCCGAGACACGGAGGGCGACGTCAAGGACGAAGAGCTTGGCTGGGCAGGAGACGCCTCGAGGAAGCGGCCGCGGGAGGCGACGATGTTTGAGGAGGAAGAGGAGTACGGGGAGGGGTTTCACATCCCGCTGGGCATGGAAGGGTGGGACGATGGCGAGGAGAGGAGGGAGAAGCGGGCAACCTACACGGACATCAGGAGGGAGGAAGGAGAAGGGGAGGATGGGCAGAGGGCGAGGGGGGTATGCGAGGAGATCGAGGAAGCTCTGGCGGAGGAGAAGGGCATCGAGCCCAGGGACATCGCGAGGCTTTTCTCAGATGAAGGTGGACATTCCCTTTTGCATTCCGGCCCAGCATTCTTCGTAGATTTGAAATGGTAAAAGACAACTGTGCGTACTCAATGCATTCATGTGTGAATAGTACTTTGATTGAGTGTTGCTGTTCTAGAATCTTTGGATTCTGAGAGGCCACATCTTTATAGTCTTGTAACGGCTGTATGCATGTAGATGACCTTCCTTTGTTTTCTTTCCTCTGTGTCATTGAATAGCTTCTGTCTTGACGGTGACATTGAGCACCTGTGTCCTTCTCTGCCCTGCTCGCACCACCTTCATGCTGATCCTCCGACCGACCTGCCACCAGATTGAGGAGGAGCGCACAGCTCTGCTTCGATCACCTCGTCGCCAAGCATGTTGTAGATCTGTCCAGCTTCAACAATCGGACTGTGGAACATCTCAGTCGTCTCATTCTGCCACAACCCTCGGAAAGCTCCGAAACAAAGAACGCATACCTTCCGTCGACCTCCTGTATGATGTCTCCTCCCTGTAGACCTGCCTTAGAAGCCGGTGAGCTGGGAGAGACCTGGGAACGCAACCAATCATGCTCAGTGCAATCAGGGGAAGCACTACATCAGTGATGATAACGCCTCTCTTAAGCTCAGGAGGAAACCCAGGGATTGACGAGCGAAGTTCAGCAAGAACCTTCAAATGGCGTGTGACTCTCAGGTAAGGGAAAAACTCACTCAGAAGCCAAAACAGAATGAAACAGGGTTGCAGTGAATACATGAACCTCCCATAACAAGATCGTCAAAGAGATCCAATTATGCCATCGTCACACCGGTATCGTCCACTGCTATACTCTCGACCATTCAGTTAGTGTACCATCGGGCTAATCGTGGCGATCTTCATCCCCAGGTGAGGGCGCCTTACACATCCATACTTCTGCATCTGGCGGACCATGTCCATCGCCTGCGTGAGAGCATGTCAGAGCAGCAAGAGAGCTTAGCTCAAGGAACTTGACCAGGTCAATGGGGATGGCAAAACTGATGCCGTCGAGGTAGGCAGCTTTCATGGTGCTGATACCGACGACTTCTCCATCCAGATTGATCAGCGGGCCGCCGCTGTTTCCCTGGTTGATGGCAGCGTCTGTCTGGATGTAAGACATTCTCCTCGCCCCTAGCCCCAGCTCAGAGCTCTGCCTCAGCAGCGCACTGACTATCCCAACCGTAACCGTGTCCTTCAGCTCCCCCGGACTGCCATAGGCGATGATCCACTCTCCCACTCTCAGGTCGCTGGACTTGCCCAGCGTCGCTGCATGCAGCGACTTGCCCCCTTTGATCTTCACGATCGCCACGTCGGAGAGCGAGTCGTAGTTTTCCACCCGCCCAACCAGCTGCTGCCCGTCCTGGAGCGTGACCAGCACCTCGGAGCTTCCTTCGACGACATGAGCATTGGTCAAGATGGTCCCGTCGGAGTCGATGATGAATCCGCTCCCTGCGACCCCGACCGTCATCCACATCTCATTCTTGGTGCAGGAGATGCTGACGACGCTGGCAGCTACTCGCTCTACGGCGTCGGAGATGGTGTAACGAAGCTGCTGCCGGAAGCTCGGTCCTCCACTGTCACTCATGGCCTCACACATCGAAGTGTGCGATCGTGACAGCGAAGCTAGAGCAACATTCGATCCCACACCAAGCGCGACCCCCCCAAAGATTGCCCTACCAGCCCACATCCTCTTGTCAGCGCGATGAGCCTTTGCTGCTGCTCGATAAGAGAAAGATTTCGAAGAGGAGCCGAAGGGCAAGAAAGAGGAGGAGAAGGAAGACGAGGAGGACGAGGACGAGGACGAGGACAAGGACAAGGACGAGGAGGGGCAAACCATTCTCAGCCACCTTGCGGCTAACGAACGCTGCATGATTCCTCTCTCCTCTAACTCTCCCAGAAAATTCGTTCCTTTCCCTTCCATGACAAACCCACGAGTCGCACTAATACGAGGGGTAGCAGTCTCTTCTGCCCTAGAATTATTCCTATATGTTGCACCCTGCCTCAGAACATCCCTGCCTTCCGGGGATACTTGCCGGGCCCGGTCAAATGGTTGGCCCACCTCCCATCTCAGTCCCACTACAGGTTCGGGATGTCCCCTCATCCCCGCGCAGGCAGCAGCAAAAATAGGGAAATCTATGGGCATGGCAGGTTCTGGAAAATAGAGGGAGGCAGCAGCGCGATGGAGGAGGAGGAGGAGGAGAGGCAGAGATGGTGAGGCTGGGTCAAAGTGCTGTGAGGGTGCTCAGAACTTGGGAAAGTGTACGGGAGTTTGGGAAGGAAGGATAAGGAGAGTGGGAGCGTGCATTGGAAAGTAAGGAATTCCTGTGACTAGGCAACATGCCTAGCGGACTGGACGAGCTTTGCGCAGAGTTCAGGGAAGCAAGGGATGGGAGAGACTGTGTGTTCAATGTGCTAGTCAACATTGCTGAATGCCGCGGCCTCTATGGATTGGCAAGCCACGGGTTCAACGATTCCAAGGCTCGAGTGTATGGGACGTGGGACCCTGAAGGGACAGAGGTGTCGAAGATCCATTCCAAGACGAGCACGCCATTCTTCAACTTTGTCTGCAAGCTCTCATATGTTGGGCAGCCACACAGGTTCTTGTCCTCCTCGATCGTCATCGAGATCCAGCATGACCGCGGGCTCCTGCCTGCTAAGATCATAGGCGTGCTGCAGATTGGTGTGCTGGACGTTTTCCACAGCTCTGGTCACAAGCTTCCGCTTCAATGGTTTGCGATCAATGACATAGCATCTGATGAGCCAGCCATCCCCACAGGCTACATCAGGATGAACGTCATCATCAACAACATGGATGAGCCAGGGGCTGTTCAGGATGATGTGCCGGAGGAGGAGCGATCTCGCTGCGAGCTGCTGGAGATACCGAGGTTGCACAACTTCATCACGGCAACGGGCGTGTACAACATCATCTTCAAGATCTATCAAGCGCGGAACCTGAGGAGGGTCGACGATACCTGGGGCTCGGACCCTTTCATCAAGATCGTGATCCCTACAGGAGAAAACCAGACAGACACAAAGGCTTCAGACCTCAACCCCGTCTGGAACCAGCAGCTGCAGATTCCAGTGTACGAGCCAATATTCTGCGACCTCCTCGCCTTGCAGCTTTGGAACCAGAACATTGCTGGGAACCACGTCGTCGCTGAGCACATGTTCAGCTGGAAGGATGTGTTCTCTAGGCAGGAATACTACAAACAGCCCAGATGGTTCGACCTGTTTGCGCTTCCCGACAAGGGCATCATGGAAAGAACGGCTGAAAAGGTTCAATCGATCACAAGAAAAGTTGGGGAGTTCGTGGGGAACCGCCAGTTCAAGATGATGGCGTCAAAGATCTGCAGCGGGTTCGGCTCTGGGTCGTATGAAGAGCCCTCTGTCTATTGCGGCAGAGTTCTGCTCTCGATTGAGATTGAGGACAGGGAGGGGAGCAAAGCACAGCCGAGCTTGGCTCTTACGGAGATGAAACCTAAGGACTGCAAGCTGTTCCAGGACGTGAAGCAGAAGGTTTTCTTCCGATTTCATGTCTTCCATGGGCAGGGGTTGAACGTGCCAGCGGTGGGGATGGGTCAGAACTGCTATGCCCAGGTCGAGCTCGAGATAGGAAGGAAATCGTGCACTACCAAGGTCAAGTCAGAGCACAAGGGCCTGTTCGAATGGTATCAAGCGGTGGAGCTAGAGGACGATATCCCTTATGATGATCAGCTCTGGCCCTGGCTGGACACGGACTATGAGGAGGGTTACTTCCCTTCTGAACTGATCGACGCTGCGTTCCCTCCTGTGTGGATCAAGGTGTACCGCTGCTCAGGCTTGCTGGACACGATCGGGGGAGCGAAGTTGACGAGGAAGCTGATTGGCTTCAAAAAGCTCAGGCTGAGGGACCTGCTGGCGATCGGGGAGAGGCCGGCGGCTCCCGTGGTGAACGCCATGGGCAAACCGACGATCATGGAGCTGACGCAAGGGAACCAGAAGGCAAACGTGATCTTGAACAAGAAGGACAGCTCGCTGCCCTCGTTCTACGTCGCTCCGTCCGAGGAGCTGCCGAAAGAGTGGAACCCCAGGGAGAGGAGCTACTTCAAGCCGACCTACACCAGCCCCCCCTGGCCCCACGGGGACAAGTTTGACGATGGGAGGGGGAACAATCACTCGATGGACCCCTACATCGGCATGCAGTGCATCAAGCTCGACCGAGATGCTACGTGTGACCTTGAGCCTACGGACTTTGCTGGTTTCATCTGGGTCAGCCTCAAGATGTACGTCCCGTCCCGCACGAACTGCAGCAACGCGGTCAAGGGGCCTCCCATCCTCAGCCCGTTCGTCAAGTTTAACGAGATCTCGATCCCCTCGCCGCAGCAGCTCAAGTGCGAGGAGATCTTCTCCCTTAGAGCCCACATCTCCCAAGCTAAAGATCTCCCCTCCGCCAACACTGTGGGGATGGCAAACGCGTTCGTGGAGGTCGTGTTCTGCGGCAAGAAGATGCGGACGCATACAGTGAACGGGTCGAACTCCCCGACATGGGATTGCACCCTCTCCGGGGCCAGCTTCAACGACTTCCTCCTCCCTAGTGTCGGCTGGCCGGGCTGCGATGATTTCGGGAGCGACCAGTACTACGAAGGGCTATATGTGAGCTCTTCTCAGCGTGTCTCTGTTCTCTACCTCTCCTTCTTCCTCTGAGCTGATGACGTCCCCTTGCAATGTTTCGGTTTCGCTCCTCCGCCATTGCCTGGCTCGCTGCTGATTCTTGTTGCTGAACAATGAGGGCAGGAGAAGTACAACCCCAAGGACGACGACTGGCCGGAAGACGGCCTGCAGTATTCCTACGGTAATGAAGACTACGCGCTCAGATGGTTGCGAAACTACAACATGGTGAGTGGGTGCTGCCCCTGGAGTGAAAGTCTCCCTCGCTCCCTCCCTCGCTCCCTCCCCTCCCTCCCTCCCCTCCCTCGCTCCCTCGCTCCCTCCCTCGCTCCCTCCCTCGCCCCCTCCCTCCCTCGCCCCCTCCCTCCCTCGCCCCCTCCCTCCCTCCCTCCCTCCCTCCCTCCCTCCTATTGCCTTTGTCTGGTTCGCTGGGGGTCTGATTCTTGTCCAGCTCCGAGCGGCTCCAAGGATCGAGGTAAGGGTGCTCGAGAAGGTTGCGTCCAAGAACGTTCTCCTCGGGAGGTTCTTCGTGGTACGCTCCCTCCTCCCTCCCCCTTACGTGGCTGTCCTATCCCCTCCCTCTCCCCGACCTTGCAGTCTTATCTCCTCCGGCAGGCCCCCGAGCGCTGTTTTCACACCCACTGCGATCCCTCCTGGTTCGAGCTGTTCAAGGGGAACCCGGAAATAGATGAGGGCAAGCTGTACGCGAGCTTTCAGATCGTCCATAGGGATGACCCGCTCTTCAAAGTCATCCCGGGCGAACTCGTCCCGCAACGAACCGACGAGTTCCACAACTCCAAGGGCAACAAGCAGTTTGTAGAGCCCAACGCCTGGAAGTGGGACCCTAACGACGGCGTCCCCATCCCCTGGGAGTCCTTTCCCATACCCTTTGCCTTCTTCAGCCGGACCAGGATGCCCTGCAGGGGCTACAACCCTTTCCCCTGCCCCATGAACCCCTACGTAGAGGCGGCGGAGGTGTTCATGCGGGAATGCAGGATCCAGGTTCAGATCCTGGGGCTGCGGAACATGAGCGAGCAGCTCGGCCTGAGCTCCCCCTCCCTCGCCTTCTTCGTGCAAACCACAGACAGCTGGAACGGGGACCCAGCCGGGTTCAAGGTGACCAAGGAGTGCAGCCTGCCGAACCCCAACGATGTCAACTTCATGCAGCAGCTCGAGCTGGAGGTGCTGCTGCCGGATGACCCGGAGTACGCGCCGGACCTGGAGTTCCTAGTGTTTGACTACCAGGGCTTCTTCGGGGGGAGGAAGATCGTGTGCTGGGGCTCGGAGCCGCTCAGGCTCTTCTACCCGTGCGGGGTCAAGGAGGACAACGCGGACGACAACGACGACGACGAGGACGAGGCGGCGAGGCTGAGGAGGGAGAAAGTTGAGCGAAGGAAGAAGTTCGAGGAGCTGATGGAGGAGCTGATGAAGGCTGGCACGATCCAGGCGAAGGAGGCGAAGAAGCTTCTGAATCACTTCAAGAGCGGCATGTCCAAGGACTTGGACCATGCGTTCGACCTCTACCTCGCCGCTCCCTCGGAAGCTGCCTTCCTGGAGAGGACGGAAGAGTTCCTCCTGACGAGAGAGATGAAGGACATCGAGGCCAAGGAGAAGGCGCTGGAGAAGAAGAGGAAGAAGGATGAGGAGCGGCAGCGGAAGGAGGAAGCGAAGGAAAAGGAGAGAGAGGAGAAGGAGGCGAAGAAGAAGAAGGCAGAGGAGGAGAAACAGAAGAAGCTAGAGCTGCTGCAGGAGAAGAAGGAAAAGCAGGCGGCGGAGAAGGCAGCGAAACTGGAAGCCAAGAAGGCAGAGAAGCTTGCGAAGCAGCTTGCGAAGGAGGCAGAGAGAATGGAGAAGGAGGCCGCTGCTGCTTCCCTCACTAACTCGAGAAAGAAAGGGACAGAGGGCGACAAGGGAGGGGATGCAGTGCAGACAAGCCCGGAGGAAGTCAGGATGACGCTAACGACCGATGTGATGGAAGAAGGACGCGAGGTCAAGGTTGTGTTAGCATCGGATGACGACAAGGAAGGAGAGGGTGAGGACGGGGTGAACGAGGAGGGGGCGCTGGACGAAGCAGACGCTGTGGAGGAAGAAGCAGACGCAAACCCTGAGGGTGGAGAGCACTATCATGAGGAGGGGGGAGAGACGTATGAGGATGAGACTCCCATGGCTGAGCATGAGGAGCAGGCTGAGCTCCAGCAGGCAGAGGAGGAGCGACTTGCAGACGAGCTGCACCTGGGGGACAAGGGGCCGAGTGATCAGCACGAAGAAGTCGGCGACAACCCCAACCAGGCCGTGTACGAAACGGCTGGAGGGGGAGGAGCGGGAGCGGGAGCAGGAGCAGGAGCAGGAGGAGGGGACGAAGTTGGAGAAGGGGACGAAGTTCTGGATGTTGTTGACATCTACTCTGCCATCCGGCCAGAGGACGATGAGGAGCCGGACAGGCAGGAAGTGATCGACACTCCCGACGGGAAGCCCAACGCCGAGTGGCTGGTGTTCAGAAAGCACACCAAGTTCACGGAGCCGCTGGAGAAGACCAAGGAGTGGACGGACCTGTTCGAACCGAGCTTCGAGGAGGTGCCTCTGTTCCAGGGGAGGGTAAGGGACTACAAGAGGAGGAATGCAGAGGCTGTGGGAGTGGTCAAGTGCAGGATCAAGGTGTTCCGGAAGGAGAACGAGACGAAGGCGGGGAAGAGCGAGCTGAACCCGGAGCGAGATCCCGAGTACTTTGAAGTTGTCAGCTCCGACCCCTCCATCCCAGACGCCCTGGAGAAGTGCCGCCCTTACAAGCAGTACAACATCTACGAGACGTTTGCGGAGGCGACGGTGGAGGTTCGGGTGTACTGCCTCAAGGCGTTCCAGGTGACGCCTGGCGGGTTCATGAGGGAGGAGAACGGGGAGGGGATGTGGCTGCAGTACCTGGAGGCTCGGCTAGGGGACAAGAAGCACGAGAGCGATGTTGTTAAGTCGCTCAATCCCAACTTCTTCCACGTCTTCCAGTTCGCCGACTGCGTGATTCCCGGGCCCAGCCAGCTGGTCATCACCCTATTGGATGCGAGCATAGCCCCGCAAGGGATGATCCTCTCCACCAAGAAGATTGGGACAACTACCATCGACCTGGAAGACAGGCATGCTGCTGCTGCTCCTCCTCCTCTTCCTCCCCTGACTCTTGCTCGCTCCTCCTTCTCTGACTCCCACTTCCCCCTCCTCCCGTGACTGGTGCTTCGCAGGTGGTTCTGCCAAGAATGGCGAGACGAGAAGTACAAGCCGAGAGAGGTGAGGGATCTGATCAACGAGGAAGAGCTTCCCGGGGTCTCTCAGGGCAAACTCTCCCTCTTCCTGGACATCGTGGACGAGACGAAGGCGGCGGAGCAGCCGGTGGAAGACATCAAGGTGCTCGGCAAGACGCTGCCCATGGAGCTCCGCGTCATCATCTGGAACACTCTCGACACGGCGCCAAAGGACTCCTACACCAGCGACGTCTACATCAGCTGCGAGCTGCTGGGCGTCGGGCAGCCCAAGATGACGGACACGCACTACGGGGTGAAGGTGAAGGCGTACGGCATGTTCAACTACCGCTTGAAGTGGAAGTGCAAGTTCCCTGAGATGAACCTCGAGTACCTGATGAGGATTAGCGTGTGGGACGAGAACGCGCTGACCAGCCACAAGTCGATCGCGGAGGGAGTCCTGCCCCTCAAGAAGCTCTTCAAGGACTGCTTCGAGCGGAACCAGGGGAAGGTGAAGGAGGGAGGAGGAGGCAGGGGGCAGGGGGCAGGAGGCAGGAAGAGCGGAGGGGGGGAGCAGGGAGGAGGATGGTCCGGGGTGAGTGACTGGCAAGCAGACCTCTCCTGACGACATGGAGTTTGTCTTCATGACCCCGAGAGACATGGGTCAGGTACGAATTACCACTCCTCTCCTCCTCTCTCCTCCTCCTCTTCCCCTCTTATTCCTCCTCTTTTCCTCTTACTGCTCCTCCCTCCTTCTCTGTCCCTTCTCTTCCTCTTCCCCTTCTCCTCCTCCTCCTTCTCCTCATCCTTCCTAACTTGCAAACCATAGGATACGGACGCAGACAAGCAGGTGCTGGTGGACGAGGAGAACTTCAAGTATCCCTACATCTGGTATAAGATGGTCCATCCCAACTTCGGCTTCAACCGCGAGAAGAATTCGCAAGCAAAACTCCAGCTGTCCATCCAGGTAGCTGCTGCTGCTGCTTCTGCTGCTCCAGTTGCTCGACTCCCGTCTCATCCTCCTTCTTCTTCTCCTCCTCCTCCCCTCCCACCTCCTCCTCTTCTATCTTTGTTGTATTCATCCTCTCCCCAAACTTGTCTACCGTATCAGTGATCCTCTGCCTCCCAGGTGATGCCACGTGCCAAGGCGCGCGCAAACCCAGCAGGACGCGCAAGGAATGGTCCCTCCAAGCTCGCAGAGCCGGGTCGTCCTCCTCAGGTGATGCCGCAAGTCGCTTCCTCCTGCCTTGACCAGAGGAGCAGCCGGCTAACCCGATCCTCGAGTCGGAGAAGTGCAAGGCATACATCGTGTATAGGTTCCTTCTCTTGGAGGCCTTAGGGCTCGTGGTGACTCTGGCGCAGCATCAAGGAATTCTTCGGTCGCTGCAAGGGAACCTGCATGGTCTACACCCCTTCTCAGCTCCTCCTCCCTCTCTGCGCTTGCTCCCTTCTCCTCCTCGACTCCCTCCTGCTCCTCCTCCTCGCCGTCGTCTGACTCCCGTTGCTCCTTCCCTCTCCTCCTCCTCGTCTGACTCCCGTTGCTCCTTCCCTTTCGTCCTCCTCCCATGGCTCCCGTTGCTCGTGACTCCCTGTTTCCCTCACTCTCTTGCAGTGTCTCTGCTGCTGCCTTATTTGTGGCCTCATCCTCGCCGCCATCGCCGGCATCCAGGTCATGCGCCTACTGAGGCAGTTGACTCAGCTGACTGCTCCTGCAGATGGCCTTCCCTGGTCTTCTCCCCATCCCTGGCTGAACGCTGGAGCTGGAACGGGAGCATGTAAACTACCTGAGACGGTGCCTTCGGGGAGGCAGCTTGTTGTACTTTGTGATGTAGATGTATGAAAGCCTCGCTCGCATGTCTGTCCTCCCTTCTCTTACACCCACATACGATGAAAGTCCTCAGTGTTAGCGTCCTTGGCAATCCTCTCCAGCCACCGTAGCTGCGTCGGGTCCTTGACAAGCGTCAACGAGGAGGATGAGGAGGAGGAGGAGGAGGAGGAGAGGTTGAAAGGCGATTGCTCCTTACCTCGAAGCTCGACTGCACCAGCTGATCGAACTTGCGCCGCACATCCTGGACAAGCTCGGGACTGACCTGGAGGAGAGTTGACAAGGAGAGAGGAATAGAGGCAAAACCTTGCAGCGCTTGAAGGAAGCAAGGTATGCGCGGTAGCCCAGCCAGAAGATCTCTTTGCGCGAGAGGTCGATCGTCATACCTGGCAGCTTGAAC